GTTTGGGCGGCGCCTCCAGGCAGGGTAGGGCAGAGAGACATGACCGCCTGGAGAAGAAACCACTGCCGGCTGGAGCGCGCGGGCAGCAAGCGCGCAGACTCCAGCCCCAGAGCGAGGCCGCGGCGCGCGCCCCACCCAGCCGCATGGTAGCGCAGCCCTTAAAGGGACTTGCGCCCCCTTGGAGGCGGGGCCCGAGGGGCGAGGTTTTGAAGATATGCATGTGTGCAGGGATCTCTCTCTGGGACATCCAGTGCCCCGGCTCTCCACTCACATCTTCTCCCAAGACCCTGGTCCTGGGCACCCACCAGCAGTGTCATGAGACGTTTATTGCGCGCTTTTTGTATGAACAAAATAGGTTCCTGAAATCCTGGAACTTGTATTTCAGAAGACAAGACAAAAAGCAAATATACCTGCACAACAGGCAAAATATATTTCAGGGAGTGACAGTAGTGTGAAGGAACCAAAACAGGATAATGTGCACTCTGAAAACTTCCCTGCTTTACAGTGAATATCTGGGGGAGAGGCTAGTATTAGTAGAACAAATAAATGCCTTGCAAAATCACAAAGCCTTAATAAAACTGATTTTTAAATAAATCTGTAAGTAAATACATTGTTATGTACCCTAGTATAGGTCGATGGAAAGGTGGAAGGGTTTGGCAGGGTGGTCAGGGAAAGCCCCTTGTAGGTGGTGATGTTGGAGCAGAAACATAAATGATGAGAAAGCAGGAACCAAAGAGACGAGTGGTCCAGACAACAAGAACAGCAAGCTCAAAGGCCTGAGGCCTCAGGGAGTGGCCAGAAGGCCAAAGAGACCACAGTTTTTATGTTATTTATGTGGCACATACTTGCTAAGCGTCTCCTCTGTGTTTGGCAGTGGTATCAAGTGGTGGACAAAGTCCCCATGCTCATGGAAATGACATTTTTGGATCTTTTTGAAAGTATGGTAAAGGTTCAACCAGCAAAAAAGCAGTATGGCACAGGTGGAAAAGCATGGGGACTGGGCGGGGGGTGGGGTGGGGGGTTGTCACATGCCACATAAGGCTTCAGCACCCTGGCACAATTGATTACTCTTATGGCACCTCTACAATTCAAGGGCAGGGACCGTGTCTGATTCATCCCTATATCCTGAATGAATAAATGAGTGTGTGAGTGAATGTGATACCTGCAACAACATTTTCTGGTTGCCCTCCAACTCCCTATCTAAGATTTTCCACTGTGCTTCTTCACCTTGATATTCATTCTTTAATTACATCACCATGTTTTTCTTTATAATTTATTATGAAAATGTTCATACAGAAAAGTTTAAAGAACTGTACAATGAAGATAAAAATGCCCACCACATAGATTCTGTAGTTAACGATTTGCTATATTTGCTTTAACATACATCAATGCATATCTCCAACCCCCACCCATCCATCAGTCCATCTTATTCTTCGTGTGTATCAAAGTAAGCTGCAGACATCAGTACACGTCACCACTAAACATGTCAATCTAGGGAGCTTTAAGTGAATGTAATACATTTAAAGGTAAATTTTACAAATGAAATGAACAAATCTTAACTTTATCATTCCATTAGTTTTGACAAATGTATCCTTAGCAAGACATAGACCAGTGCTGTCCAATAAAGGTATCTATAGTGATGGGTGTGATCTGTGCTGTCCAGATACAGTAGCCACATGCCACTTGTGGTTATTGA